CAAAACTGTACTCACGACCTGGGGTTCAAATCCCAGGTAGCCAGCTCAAGGTTGACTCAGCCTTCTATCCTTCCGAGGTCGGTAAAATGAGTACCCAGCTCGCTGGGGAGGCAATGTGTAGCCTGCATAATTAACTTGTAAACCACCCAGAGAGTGCTTGAAGTGCTATGGGGCGGGCGGTATATAAGCAGCACTTTTGCTTTGTATTTAGATCAAGGTGTATGTGCATAGATACAGATGTATGATATCTTATCAAACCTTTATTCTTGAAAACATTTTTCTCTTTCCTTATGGAACTTCTTGCAAATACTGTCTTAAGAATCTTCCCCACTGATCCAGAGGAATATGGGACTGTCTAGGAGTTTAGCCACAAGACCTTCCCAAAGTGGTGCCACATTTGATGGGGGATTAAAGCATGGAGAAGGAACAGACTAGTAGTGCCAAGTGCTAATTTGTCCTTGACTCCTTTTCAGTAGTGATGCTGCTAGCTCAAGAATGGGTAGACAGAAAAAAGGGAAGGGTAAGCAGAGGAGGGCAACAGAGGGATGCAGGATGATGAGAAGGGAGTGACAAAAGTCAGTCAAAACACACCAAGGCCCTCCAACATATGCTGGCAGAGAAAACATGGTAACATTCTCCTCCAGCCAAGGTGCTGTTCTGCCCACACCTGCACCAGTAAGCAAGAAGGAATGCATAACCATTAATACTGTGCTCATGAACAGCCGACCATGAAGATATGCTTCTAACCACCTACCCTAGGCACACATACTTTTCATGGAGTCAGACAGTGTCAGGGAGTTTCTGATTTTGTATAAAGATATAGGCTGCAAGCCATGGACGATTATCCTCATATAAGCAACACCAAAAGTGTGTGTTTTTCTCTGTTTCTCCGTCTGTCTTTGAAACAGCAAAAGCTAGAAAAACTATTGTACGAATACTGCTGAGGTCCAGCTTAAATAACTGAGTATGTTATAACTGAATGGTTCGTACTGACTAGGAGATTCCAGCAATTGTAAGCCCTCTTGCCCAAATGATCAGACACAGGAGTACAAAATTTTGCACGTATACTATGTATTTACAATATTTCCCAACTTACATAGCTAGATAGTTTATATCTCAACTGCCCTTATAGACTGGGGAGTATGGGAAGTGTTTTGGTTTATATTTCGAAACTGGTTCTTCAGGGCCCCAATGCTCCCCCTCCCCCGGATGATGAGCATTTATTTGCATGCAAACATAGGCATTTGCTGAATGCTTCTATCAAGTCTGTTATATCAACTGCATTTATGAGATCATGGCTCTCTGGAGAGTATATTTAAGTGTGAAATTGATACCCACAGACTTCCAGATAAGCAGATCTATTTTGACGGAAGTGACTGCTGCTATGAATAACAGACTGCTTGTGTGTTTGGATGGCAAGAGAGAAAAGTCCATTGTTTGACTTGAAAATGTTGGGCTGGGGGTAGAAGAGGGAAATTAAGAACGCTGGTATGGAGGTGGGTCTATGGGTCTTCACCCCCTGTAAAGATCTTGAATGGGTACTAGGATGGAGCAAGAGACCAGACTGCAGCTGCCGGAGAGCTCAGTGGTTTAGGCATCTGGCTGCAAAGCCAGAGAGGTTGGGAGTTTGATTCCCCCACTGGACCTCCTTGACAGGGGCTGGACTTGACGATCTCTAGGATTCCTTCCAGCCCTGCAGTTCCAAGATACTTATCAAAATGGCTGGACCTGACGATCTCTAGGATTCCTTCTAGCCCTGCAGTTCCAAGATACTTATCAAAATTTGATAATGATATCAAAGCAGGGATGGGGGTGGTGGAGAGAAGAGAAAAAAGAGAAACTGGTTTCAGCTGTTCATCAGATTATAAAACATAGCCCTCCCTGCAGTACTGTACTTCAGATTTCATGGAAGAGATTGTGTTTGAGAAAAGTCTTCTGTGAGCCCTCCCAGCCCATCCATGTTAGCAGACACTCTTCTGTTCCTTGATCCATGAAGGATGGCACCAGTCCTTGAACCAAAACAGGGTTTATTTATAACTAGGTTGGGGGTTACAACACAACTGTTTTTGACCAGCCCCAGGATAGTTTCCTGCCATGCCCAGGAACCAGTTCTTCGGTCTAATGGGTCCAAGTTTTCTATTTCTCTGGCCTTCAGTTGGAGGGATTTCAGTCTTGTGTTTCTCAATGAGGTATTTCCCATTACCCTGAAACACTGGGCCTACAACAGGGAGAGTCAGTATACTGTACTGTACTTGCATCAAGGGTAACAATGTCAGCACCCAAGTCTGCTTGTGGCTGACAGGCTGCTGATTCTGGTGTGCCTGCTGATGCAGTCTCCGCTAGCATCTCAGCTGAGTGGGAATAGGTTTCCAGGGCTAGGCTGGCTGGCTCAGCGTCTTTGTTCCCTCTCTTGCCATTCTCCCCACTATGAGGAACAGCTACAGTTTGAGGTGTCTTTCCGCCTTGTCCTTGGGCACCCTGGACTGCACCAGCCCCTCATCCAGGGGCCCTCTTTGTGTATATACTGTACTCCCAATCCCCATTGGTCCTGGTTCCTCGGGGAGCTCTTCCTGGACCTGGAAACCCTCGACTGGGCTTTCTAAGGCCTTGCTCCCAGGATCCCTCCTCCATCTTCTCAACTACCATCTGCCTTCCTTGTTCCACCTTCTCCTTCTCTTCTCCCGTCCCAGTCTGTCTCCCCACCTCCAGTGCCTCCTTTCTGTTTCTCAGATCCCAAGGCCCCCTTGCTCCCTTCAGGGCTTGGGCTTCCAAGCCCACAACCCCCCCCCTCCAGGGTCTCAGTCAGAGTTCCTTCCTCCTGCCATCTAGGCTCCACTTGTAACAGGGTTCCCTCAGAGTGCCATCTGTTAAATCTGTTTCCCCCACGTCCACGCGGGAGCTCACAGTCTGGAACTTTACAGATCCTAGATGAAGGTGAGATGGCCAGCTGATTGGGGGGGGCATGCTACTGTCACTGACTTTACATCTCCATTCTCAACATCTTTTTTGTATGTAAAGGTCTCCCTACAGAAGGCATGAATTCACAGCTGGCATGTATGTGGACTGAACTATATGGGACGTTAGGAGTGTTATTGTATTTACAGGCAAGTCTGTGGCATGGGGCAAAATGACTCCTACCCCTCATGTACCATGATTGATTGGGATGGATTAAGAAGGAAAGAAAAAATATGATGGACTCTTCTTCTCCTTTCCATCACTCCCTTCTCAAAAGATCATGGACTGTGAAGCTATGCAAACTAAAGGTGGTTGATCAAATTAACATAGTTCTGAGCCAGCAGTTTCTCAGAAAGGGGAAAAAGGCTCAGCTCAAGAAATGAAAATATGCTTGCAAAAGATTTGAAAGGCATTTGTCAGATTTCAGATCTATTTATTTATTTTTAAAATATTTGATTAGTCTGCATGCCATTTATAGGTTATGGCAGGGCAGCAAAGTTAAGAGTTATGAGATGTCTGACTGTCCTTGTATGTCATTGTCTTATAAATACCTTGACTCTGACATTACACGGCTGTTTATAGAATTTAATAAAGCAAATGTAATAATGTTGCCTGTTCCTTTAATCTACAATCTCAGTAGAGTTGACCAGGAGATAAATAGGAACAGCAATGATAGCACATTGCTACAGATTGTTTTTAATAAGCATGTTGTTTAGTTGATCATCCAAGAGCAGCAATGCCTTGTATCTTAGCCTGCCAGACAAATTTATTAATGCTTCCCGCCCCTCCTTCCAGACATTTCTCTAAGATTGTTGATTCCCTGGGGGCACATCTCTATTGAACCTTTAGAAAGTCACAACTTCCAAATTAGATTAAGTAGCAGGAATGGTACCCAGCAGAATCAAAGAAAATTGAGTGTGTTATTGAATTGATGCCACATTGTCTCTAGAAAAGACTGATGTTGTGTATAGTGGTTACTCTGGTCTTTCCTCCACTTGGAAAACCAGAACTGGTGCTTCCACCAAGCAGAATGAGGTGTCCGCTGTAGGCAGCCGTTTGGGTGCTCATGAAAGGGCAGGCAATAGTAAGGTGTTTATTATTGTTCTTTGTTTTCCTACTAGAACTGGATTTTGAGATTTCGGTCTCATTTGTTAAAATAGGTTTGTTAAAATAATTTTGGTTGGCTTTGGGTACTCTCCACCTTGATTTGGTTGGGTGGATGGTCCCATTTGCCCACCCCATCACAGGCAGCAAAATGTCGTTGGCAAAGTCTGTAGGAACGGCTGCAAAGTAGAACTGCACAATATATGTGAGAAGTGAGTGATAATCATATGTGCACAGTGGACCCTCGACTTACAGACTTTTCGAGTTACAGACTTCTCTGGCTGCAAAATTTAGGGTCGACTTGCAGCCAGAGAATCGACCCACAGACGAGAAAAAAACCAAAATGGAACAAAAACGGAACAAAAATGGCCAGTTACGGCATTAATCGGTTTTCAGTGCATTGTAGGTCAATGGAAACTCGACCTACAGACTTTTCGACCTGCAGCCACCGTTCCAATAGGGATTAATTCCGTAAGTAGAGGGTCCACTGTCTATGGAGGCTTCAAAAATGGGGAAAAATCAGTGAGAAATATGGTGTAGGAAATAGCCGGTTTGCATATATTTCAGTGTCTGTTCAGATTCCTGGACTCCTGGAGATCTGACTTCGTACTGTAAGCAGACTTACTTGTCACTTGATAAATGCAGACATTCATTTAAGCTCTGCCTGTTTCTCATTTGGGTCTGACACATTAAGAAGTGCATAATTAATGGTTGACATTAGTAATTAACATTAACTTTATGGTGCTTAATATGCCATCATTTATCCATCAAATAGCTGGTATGCATAAATGTCTTTGCAGCAAGGTTTTAATTATAGAAAATGATCTCTCCGTTTTGGCGTTCGCCCTGAGTAAAGAGACTGTACTTGCACGGCTGAGGAGATCAGCTGGGCTCCGTCCCCAGTATCCTGAACCTTAAATCTTATTTTTGTTCCTCCTTAGGACTGTGCACCAACACTCAAGCCAAGGGTGGTTGCTGTTCAGGAATACAGAGCCAAAGGCACAGCTGTCATCGGTGGCGAAAGAGCACCACCTGGCTGTAGCCAGAGCTCTCTGGAGAAATTTCTTCCCATACGTGAAGGGCCAGCGAATGTCACAGAGTCCTCCTCCTCCTCAGCTTGCTGATACAGCTGCAGGTTTGGGCTGTGATTGTCTCTCCTTCTCTCTGCCCTTGCCACATTCTCCTCCTTACGTTAGAACCTGCCAGTTAATGCAGTAGAATTTGTCTGCACATGATTTGTTCTTGTCCAGCATTTTTACGTACATGTGCATGTCCATGCTCACACATGTGCAGACAGCGCACACCCCTTGTTAGAATGCTCTGGCGTGCTCACCTTATTAATAGGGTGCTCCTGGATCTACAGCTTGAGTGGCATAGCCTCCACCCAACCCACCTCCCCCCGGATATAATTTGTTACATTTGAAATGTGAGCTCTAATCTTTGGCAAGGTTAATGGTTAATGCTTCATCATAGAAATGTGGCGCATATTCTCTGAGCTTAAATGAGTTTGTTCATAACTCTTCTGTTTCTAGAGATTCCTCCCCCTCCCGTGTTTCCCTTGGATTGCAATAGCATTCATTTAGTAAATGTTTCTCTGCATATATATGTATATATTTCAAGCATTCCAAATGCATTGTGTGACATTATGGTTTTTTAAAAGGCGCACACGAAATGCTTTGCAGTCAGGAGTCTTATACTGCTGGGAAGTCGCTCGGAATCTGGCAGATGGAATAACATCTTGAGAATAAACTGTAAGAGGAGTGATCCTTGACTCCAGCAGAGCAGTGCCCATCTGATCTGGTCCCGTGTATTTTCATATAACACCATTTCCTCCATGAAATTCCCATATAGTAGCACTGCGTATTTCAATTTGACAAGCCTTGTGTCTAGCAATAATGGCACACTGAATCCATTTAAATAATATTTAGAAAAGAGAGATTTGAATTTAAATGTATTTTACCCCAACATGAATTAAGAACTGAGTTTATGAGCTCTCAAAGACCCGGTCAATAATGGAAATGAAGAAAGGCCCCTTGAACTTCAGCAGCTTTGCAATAATTAAGATATAATGGTAATGGAAAAGAATGTTGTAGGAATGAAATGCTTTGCCACTTTGAAGATATTTTATAGGACGCAGACACTAAGTTGAAGCAGAAACCAGTTGCCTTGCTTAAAGACTCCGCTCTGGTTTTCTTGAGATATTGGTTTAGAATTAAGAAAAATAAACAGCTCACTGAATCACCACAGTAAGTGAGAATCAGCACTAAGAATATGATGTACGTAATACGTTTAAAGAAATGAAAGTCTGAAAAACATGTATGGATATGTATATATATTACACTAAGTTGAAGCAGAAACCAGTTGCCTTGCTTAAAGACTCCGCTCTGGTTTTCTTGAGATATTGGTTTAGAATTAAGAAAAATAAACAGCTCACTGAATCACCACAGTAAGTGAGAATCAGCACTAAGAATATGATGTACGTAATACGTTTAAAGAAATGAAAGTCTGAAAAACATGTATGGATATGTATATATATTATATTATATATATTATAATATAGCCTAGTGGGTTTCAAACTATTTTGGTTTGTGTTACCCCTGTTGTAATGTCTCATGATAGTTCATGGAACTCCAGTTCCCATTTCCTGCTCCCCTAAGTGCCAGGGGAAAAGGCCAGGTGACAGGTCATGGGGTGACTATGTGGCAGGACAAAAGGTGTGAAAAACTGCTATGGGGGAGCCAAAACAAGATAAAAAGAAAGACAGCTGCACCAAGTATTTTGTAGTTCTCTGCACATTTCCTTGACCCTGTCTCTCAAGGAAAACTGGATTTCACCCAGGTTTCGAAATGATTGTGAGCTACAAGCAAGAAAGCTTTAGCCAGCTATTTGGGAAGTTTTGATGAAATTCACAGCTTCCTTTGCGGAACTCCTCGAAACACAATAGTATTTGCGAAATGTGTCCAGCTGGTCAAGGAGGGAAGTAAGGTCCTGACTTTGCAGGGTCTGTGAGGGAGGAATGTGGGTGCAACCCTCATGAAAGCTCCTGGTTTCATTAAATTTAAAGAAGAGTATCATTAACAAAGAATACCTTGTGTGTCATTTAATCATTTATGTACCCCACCCTCGCCCACACCGGTATGGAGAAAAGCAGCTAGGAGACATGGCTTTTAAGGAGAAGTATGATTGGCAGGGAAAGGGAATAAGCAACCAGAACTCTTCTCTGTTTTCCTGCTCCCATTCAGAAACTGAACACAGGCTTCTTCCAGATGACTTATGGTGGGGTTTTGGGAGGGTTGGAGAGGCAGGCAAACCTGTTAGGCAGTACAGTGGTGCCTCGCATAACTAGCGCCCCGTAGAGCGATTAAATCGCTTAACGAGGGGCTCTGGGCCATCGCTGGAGCATTCGCTCAGTGATGGCCCCTATGGAGGTTTTTCGCACTGCGATATTCGCTAAGCGATTCGCTTAGCGAATATCGCATAATGCAGCGGGGGAGAACAGCTGATCGGCGGTTCCAAAAGGGCCTCCGGAAGGTCCCCGCCGCATTTTCGCGCCCTGCCCTCGCTTACCGAGGGCGCGAAAATTGCGGCGCTATGGAAGAACTTCGCACAACGGTGAGTTTTCAAGCCATAGGAACGCATTGAACAAAGTTCCATGCGTTTCTATGGCTTTTTTATTCCCGCACAGCGATGTTTCCCATAGCGAGGGTTAATCCGGAACGGAGGCACCACTGTATATTATAGAATGAGGCAACCCATAAAATTTTGCCCCAAGTCTCTTCTCCCTTCTCTTCTTTTCAAAAATCAGGTTTTACTTTATTGGCTTTGGATCTGCCCAGCACATGTACATCAGACCTTCAACCTCAACCAGTTTGGTCAATGATGCAGCTATTTGGATGGGATGATATGGTTCACCCCAAGCTAGTTTCCAGATACCTAAGTCACTTAATACAAAACAGGTGAGCAATGTAAACTCTCTTTTTTAAAAAAATTAAGTAATTAAAGTAGTTTGATTGTATGGTTTGATGCCTTCAGAGATTGGTTGGAAAAGCTTTATGAAAAAAAATCATAAGAAACTTACAGATTTTAGTTGGGATATACTGGCTCAAATCGTCTCGCTTAGTGTGGTAAATCACATTAGAGTAGGTCCATTCAATCAGTGGGAGTTTGTTGTGTCAACTCTTCCATAAGTTTTCAGTAATTCAAGTGGGCCTACTCCAACTGTGACTTACCTTATCATTATGTTACTTCATCTCGTTCTGTTAGCTGCCCAGGGTAGTGGCTCTGCCACTATTTGGGCAGGATAAAAATGTAATTAGTTAAATAAATCTGGGCAAGTAAGTCACAGTCAGCTTAGGCTCAATTGAAGCAAAGGAACCTATGGAGGAGTTGACTTGCTGAATCTCTATTGATTCAGTAGGCCTACTCTGTTGCGATCACACACTGCAGCTGGTGCGTGGGGAAGAGGGAAGCATCCTGCAGCTGGTGAATGGGCAAGGAAGGATGCAGCACTCGTGGAACACCTATGCGGGTGCTGTGCCAAACTGCCAAACTACAGTTCGTGCCCATCTCTAATAAAGACAGTTGAAACATGTTATGGAGAAGAACACACACACACACACTGAGCAAGCTAACTTTCCTTTTCTTTTTCTTCCCCTTCTTCCCCACAGTGCATTGACTGAAACTCTTAATGGTATGGGTCAAACATCCTACCAAGCTTTATTGGTACAGTCTTGGTTTCGATGCATTTTGCAAATGTTTCTCGATCAGCCTGCTGATACCTTGGTCAGGACAGATGCTGAGCAAACAGCTGGTAAATATCCTTTGTCAGGAGATGACTACTAGCAATTTAGGTTTACTGGTGGGGGAGACCTTACCCTGCTTATCTGTTACAATCAAAATGCATCTCACCTCTTTCCTCTTTTTAATTAAATACCCTGTATGGTCCTTTAAACTTACTTACTTACTTACTTGTTTGTGTGTTTGTTTGTTTGTTTGTTTGTTTGTTTATTTATTTATTTATTTATTTATTTATTTATTTATTGCATTTCTATCCCACCTATCTAGTCGAACAACCACTCTAGGAAACTTAGACGTACATACATTAATTTCATTGTGCTAACACAAAATTCATTCATTGTACTAGGAATTTCAGTTTTTCATTATTGCAAGAGTGGCATCCAGTATATATGTTGTTCCATGAGAGCTGTGTAAGCACTTGTAGTACAGCATAGTCCAGTGCAACTGCCCTAGCAGGAATTTTTAACTGTCTGGCTTTATGTTGGATTTAAGTGCTAATGTTTTAGCCTCTAAAATAGTGAATTGTGTTATTGTTATTTTTCAAAATATGTGTTCCCATATTTGTAAACAAAGACACATATGTTTTGGCAAGGTATATTTCCAAATAGTGGGAGGGATCCCCTGGAAATTAGGGGAATATTTTGCTTTTCTTCTCTGATTGGGCATTGGCAATGCAAATCCAGTCCTTTCTTTGCAATTGCCAGTGTTGATTATCATTGGCCAAAATCCTATTATTTAGCATAGTCAATCACACTGGAATCAATGCCAGTTTGGCGAGTCGACTCCTCTGTAGTTTTTATTGATTCCATTGCACCTACTGCAACATACTGTGCAAAAGTCACAGAGTAGGCCCATTTGAATCAATGGATCTCCTGGTGGAGTTGATTTACCAAATTTCCATTAATTCAGTGGGTCTCCTCTAATGTAGTTTACTACACTGAGCAACAGGATTTTGGCCATTGTCATACTGTAAGCTGGATAGAGAGGGGAGATTTACTCTTTAATCTGCCCTACTTGTGATAAGAATTGTGTAATTAAAACATATGAAATGTTAGCTATACTTCAGTTAGGTGATTTCCTTTTACTGAGTGTTCCTACATTGAAGTCAGAATGGCCTGATTTGACAGTAGCAGTAGTTGAGCTATTTCAAAGATTGGCTGAGAGGCTCCTTGCCTATTCTAGTATTTGTTGAAATAAAATAGATGTTAGCAACCAGGAGCAACAAACAGAAAGAAGAGATCAGGAAGTTTCAAGAGCTGATTATATTCCGCAGGAGGCAAGGATCTTGGCAACTCATTAAGTTCCAAGATACATCTTGCTGTATGGTTTTGCTTTATGTTCTTTGTGGAAAGCAGCTTACCACTGAGCCATGCCAAATTGTTCCATGTTCTTTTGATAATAAATAGACAAGAATTACCTGGAGCAGCTGTCTGAACTCACAAGACTGATATTTAAACTACCTGAAGTAGCAGCTACCTTCTCACAAGCTAATATTGGGGAGTCCATTTACAGACAAGATCCTAAGGATGCTGTTTTTCAGTTCATTAAGGTACATGCAGTATTTCTTATAAATATCAGTTTTGGAGAAACCCAGGGAAAGAGTGTTGGGTCTAAACATGAGGGAGTTTCCGTTTCAGCAATTAAGTCTGGTTAAGACAACACAGTACATTGTGGCCTGATATTAACTCTGCTTTATTTTGTACACCTTTGATAATTTTCTCAGGCTTTTGGAAGAAACTATAGTGGGCTTCAGACACTAGCTGAAAAATCAGCCATGGTGGCAAAGGCACTAGAATATATTGGTGATGTATTAAAGTATGTAAAGCCATATTTGACCAGAAAAGGGCCTGCAGAAGGATTGCATCTTACCTACAGAATTATAGGTAATAAATTTCATAAGATTTATCTACATGCTTTAATAAATAATTTTATGTGGGAGAGAAATAACCTATTAGAAGGCTTTGAGTTTTTTAAATTCTTCACTGTGTCAAAAATATCTAAGAATAAGGAGGCTGAGATAAAATTGAGATGAGATAAAATATCCTCCCAAGAAGGCATTCCATGGTATAAGTTTTAGGTGGGGTGCTTCCAATATTGAAGCGAAGTCATCCTTTCCATTGGCAGTGGCAGCTAAGCAAGAAACGAATCCAGGAGAGTCATGGGGTTTAAATTCCGTCTCTGGAAGCCACGTCTGTGTACGAGCATAAGAAGTTGGCTTATACTGAATCAGGCCATGGGTCCCTGAAGCACAGTATCAAGAACTCTTGACTGGCAATGGTTTTCCATGGCTTCAGGGAGAATCCCTTCCTAGCCTTTCCTGGATATCCCTGATATTCCCTAATGATCTTTCATCCGTAAACTAGCCCGGTCCAGCCTTTCTTACTGTAGCTTCTGAAATCAGACTTCATTAGCTGACTTCATAACATCGGAAGAATAGCATCATAGCATTGGAGGAATAGCACAAAAACAGAGAGATGGCAGGTCTTCCCTTCCTGTCTACGCTTTCCTCTGTCTCAAATTCATCTAAACATACAAACACATAGTGGAAACTTCATCTTCATGTGCAGTCTCAAATACACACTCTAAAGTGCATATATACAAGCCCCACTGTCAATAACTGGCATCATTTCAGAGGGGGCTAGTGGTCCCGTTTTCAAAGTGCTCTGCTGAGCCATGTTTTTATTTTAAAGGCAAATAAAAGCTCAGATCAGACCACTAGTAGTTTAAATGATAACAACATTTGGCCTCTGAACTTGTGGCTTCAAATTTTATTGATAAGTTGGTTAATTGAATTTATACCACACCGATCAGCTAAAAAACATTCCCAGAGTGGCGAACATGCCCTTACCCTGAGCTAGGAGGTTGGAAGTCGGGGGGGGTGTCCTTCAATTGGGAATAAAGCCTTACTTTAATTGGGAGAGAAATGGTATACAAAATAAATAAGTTGGGATCAGTCCTAGTGAACCGATCTTTCCAGCAGCAACTTCCTGAAAAAAACATTGCTGTGGAAGAACTACTGTGGCACATTTTGGGGACTTGTAAATGGTAGTGTCTTCCTCTGTGTTCTCACAGGATGGAACCCATAAGAGTGGTGTATAAAACTATTAATCAGAAGGTGTTATCAGTGTAAACTAAGATGTATGTAGTGGCAGGACTTTAGCAACACTGCTGTTTTGATTGAACTCAGAGCTCCTTGCAGCTGCATTGGAATTTTTTTTATTATTGTTTCTAAGATGTGAGACCCGACTACAGTTCTCCCACTTCATATTTTTTTAGCTTAAGAGTTCCCAACTCTCCTCTTGCTGTGCTTTGAATGGACCTTCCCTACCCCAGATAGACTAAGCGGGCTATATGAAGATGAGACATCTTAGTTGCTATAGTTACCAGTGGAAAATGCGGCTCAGCAGAATGCCTGTTTATGCTTTACCCCTCTAGTTTGTTCCTTTTTAAAAAAATTATCTTTGGGGGTTTCTTTGGGGGGGCGTTTATTCAACAGGATGCCTTGTGAAGTCCTGGGCAGCCATACTGGCTACTTCCAAAGCACAGCCACTCTTGTTCCGCATAATAGATTGCTTGCTTTTGCCACACACTGTGTTTCAGCAAGACAAAGAGCTGCCTGCAGCGATATTGTCTGCAGTCCGGGAGAATCTTCCTCTCTTTCTTCAGGTGTGTGTGTTTCTGTATAATATATTGAGAGTTGTTATTTCTTCCTAGTCACTAATGAAGCAAAGTAAACTTTGGGAACATTGATTAATGGCAACTGAGATTTTTTTATAAAAACATATGGTTGAGTACTTGATCTTAAAAGTCCTACTGATGGACTACAGTTTTAACGGCCAATGGTGTTGGTTCATGCATCTAACAAAAATGGCTGCCCTTCTGTAAAGCGTTGTAAGCAAAAACCACACTCCGGAATCATCTTACTACCTGATCATTATTCACTGATGTAAAAGAGTTGACATCTAATTAAATCATTGTTTGAAATTTCCTTAAGGGAATCACTGAGATCAAACAGGAGTGCTTTCTTCATTTGAGGAGAAGGAGACAGTAACAAAGCAATAGCAGCAGTAATATATGGTGTATTTCATATCCTTCTATCATGCAGTGCAAAATGATTAAAACTGCTTAACAAAAGAGAGACTAAAAAGAATTTAGGCAAGAAAGGGTACATCATAAAAAATAGGATTATGACTGGCATGTGTTCATCAACTTAGCCTTCAGTATTATAATCCTTCAAAATATATGCTTACAATAATAAGGCACATATATTAAACCATCATCTTCTCAACAATTAAATGCTGATTTAAATCAGTTAAAAACAAGGTTCAAAGAAATTGACCAGTGCAGTTTTCCTTCTGAAAGAATAGCCAAGTGTGTAGAACACATTTGATTTTACAACTGGAGAGCAGAATAAGTAGTGAGAGAAGTGCATGAGAGTTCCCACTTCCACAAATACACATATGGTCAATGTCAGAAAGTTTCTCTCAAATGTCAGTAGGTCAATCCTCAATATATTCTTTCTGGTCAGAATCCATTAAATAAAGTGTAGGAAGATCCACAGCCATATGAATAGGTATGTTTAGCACAGCATGCTAGTTTTACCAGGTCAGATGGTCTCTAAGTGCTTAAATCCAGATCTTGTGTCCTATGCAGATAATCTTAGTGATCTGCTAATTCCATGGAGTTGGTGTATGAGATAGTTCTTCCCTGTTTCTGCGCTATTATACCTGTTTGATCATTGGGCCAATAACTAATTGTTCTAGTTGCTCCCCTGAAATATGTTAGGAACAGATCTACACTGAATCTCAACCTCATGGAGGCAGAAGTCTGTTCTGTGGGACACTCTTCTACATTGGCCTTAAATCACAATACATGTTTGTTTGTTTAAAATATTTTTATCCCACCTTTCTCCTTTAAAAAAAGGCCTAAGGTGGCTTACATCATTAAAAAGACAAGATTTAAAAGCTAAAACAGTAAATATACAAATATTTTAAAAAGAATTAAACAAGTATTATATTAAAACAGTAAATAAAATCAATACTAAAACACATTTAAAACAACAGAGCACAACAGTCAATTTAAAAAAAAACAAAAACCCTCTCAGATCACCAGTCATTTAGGGAAAGCTGACCTGAAGAGAAAGTTCTTTGCCTGCTTGCGGAAGGACATCAAAGAAGGGATCAGCCTAACTTTCCATGCTTTCAGTACAGTGGTGCCTTGTATAACGAGTGCCCCGTTTAACGACGAATCCGCATAGCGATGCGGATTTTGCGATCGCATTGCAATGTTCCCATTTTCCCCCAGCTGACCGGCGGGAGCTTCGGAAGGACCACAGGGGAGCCCTCCCCCGCAATCTTTCCGAAACTCCCACCGGCCAGCTGGGCGAAAATGCTGGCGGGGGTTTTGGGAGGACCACGGGGGAGCCCTCCCCCACGGTCCTCCCAAAGGCCCGATTTTCACACAGCTGATCGGTGGTTCCAAAATGGCCACCCGCTGTGTTGCCTCGCTTTAGAGGAACCGAAAATGGCCACCGGGGGGAAATGGCCGCCCGCAGCGTTTTCGCGCCTCACTTACCGAGGCGGCGAAAATGGCAGCCAGATGGGGGATTCTTCGCTTGCCGATGAGTTTTTCCCCAATAGGAACACATTAAACGGAGTTTGGTCTCCCAAGAGCTTATGTACAGGAGAGACTTTGCCCACATATATTAATGTTAGTCTTTTGTGGTGGAACATCAGTTGCTTGATTCCTTATTCACTGCAAGCTATTAACAAGTGGCTGTCTACAAGCCTTTACTGCCATGTATTGTAGCAAACATGTTGATATTTGTGCAACACAGAATGCATATTTATGTGTATATGAATATTTATAATGTGCTTATTAAAAGCAGAATGTGATCGTTGCATAGAATGTGTTTAACCAATCAGATTGTATCTATGTTCAGCCAGGAATCTGATAGGACAGTGATAAGAATATAAGATAGGGACTAATAGGGCTGACAGGGTCTCTTACAATATGTACCTCAGACTGAAATAAAAACATAACTGATAATATGTACTAGGTTGACTCAAGGCTCAAGGTTGACTCAGCCTTCCATCCTTCCGAGGTCGGTGAAATGAGTACCCAGCTTGCTGGGGGGGCAATGTGTAGCCTGTATAATTAAAAATTGTAAACCGCCTGGAGAGTGCTTGTAGCGCTATGGGGCGGTATATAAGTCCAATAAATAAATACATAAATAAATAAATACTAGAATTAAAGTTAAAGTATTGCCAGTAGTTTGTCTGTGAATGTCTGTCATAGCAAGTAATTAAAGCAATATTACAAAGATATAACTATTTACCAGTGAATGTCTGTCATAGCAAGTAATTAAAGCGCTGTACTTATGGAATATAGTAAAAGTTTATTATTATTTTAAACCAAGTCACTAGTGCTTATTTCAATTACTGTTGCTGATACAAACACACAGTACAGGAGAATAACATTTAATCTCTATTATACAAATACTGTAGTGGTGTTTTTTATCTAAACGCTTTTGTCTGCATTGTGCTAACTCTGCTACTTTGTAAGTTATAATTAATTTATTATAACCAAGCCCAACAAAACATACACTGGCTGTTTAATCCTTTTAATTTATGTCTACTCTTGTAACAATTCCGAGTATAATTTTTAGCAGATTTGCCTGCATTAAATACACACATCTGGGAGATTATTAGCTTAATTAACAGGTAATTGACAGGACACTTTTCTGCTAGTCTGACTTTTCAAAACTAGTACTGCAGACTTGCCATTCCAAGTATAATGGAGAGAGGTTGCTAAAGCTGGTGGCATATTTCTGGCATTCTAATGCCACAGGGCTACCTGCATTTTTCAGCTTGGTTTTTCCATGTTCATTTGTCTTAAAGATGCAAATAATTTTCAAATGAATTGCTTTACATTTAATTAAAGAGACTATTTCATCTATTTGAAAATTTTCTTTTCTGCTAATCCATTTTCCTGCCAAGATGTTTTTCCTTTGCTACTGTTGCTTGACGCCTGCCCATTTTGCTAGTATGAATTCCAAGTGAAAGTCTTCATGAATTTCCAGTAATGACCCCTTATATGACAAGGAGGCTCATGATTTACCTCCATTCCTGTCAATCTTGGGAACCGCTCTCAACAAAATCTGTTTATACAGATCGGAGGGGGAAAATGCTTAGAACAAATAAAAAGTCACGGAACAGAAAACCGTCTGAACTACAGCTAGCTAGAAGGAAAGGGGAAAAAAAACATGAGAGCTTTCTGTAAAATAAGTCAAAAGCCAAAAAATAAATACTGATAAAGCAATCTTAATATGGAACATATATTTTTATAAGGGACTTGGGTGGTATCTGCAGTGAAATATAGCATGGCCTCAGAATAGTATTAGAAAAGGTATTAGAATAGTATTTCAACTTTGATGCAACCAGTCAAGGGGTACGTTCTTTCCTGTTCGAATCTTACATTCGAAATGTTGCATGAGGTTTTAAGCATTATAAATTGTATTACAGTGTTAATAATACTTCCCAGCCCCAATTTATGGTCTCCTGCCTGCTATCCCACACCCTCAGCATCAGCTTTTTCTGGGAGTGCTGGTTCCTGTTGTGAGAAATGCCAATTATCAGTACAGTAGTTGTAGTCAAGACCTGCATTCATAACCCAAGGACTTTGTGACTGTTAAGGACTATGATGGCGTCATCCAGAGACTTAGGCTTTGTTGTTCTCTCAGAGTTTGTCAGCATTCCTTGCTGGAACTGGGAGAGAAACGGATTTTCTTAGGAACAGTGTAGCATCACAAACTGTCTGTGTTGTAGTACAAAGAACTACAGTGTGGTTTAGTCCTCATTGGGCAATTAAGAACTTTTGCAAAAAAGAACTTTTACAAACAAAGTGCTATTCATTTGTTGGCTCGTATTGATCTAGTTACAAAAATGTAGAGACAAAAAATCCTTATTTTGAGTACTGTACTTTAAAATTTCGAGGAGTGTAAACATAAACGTGAAGACACAAAACAAATTGTTACCAAACGAACCATCTAACATCAGCAAGATATTAATGTCAGAAGGTGGTGAGGAATGAAGTACCTCTCCGATCTGATTTCCACAAGCTTTTCTGTCTCACTGAATGTTCTGGGTTTTTTTTCCTATAACAGTACATATTTTTATCTTACTGTTAGTTTTATTCCGGACTTGTTCAGTTTTTTGCTGATCCAGGAATTATTTATACTCAGTGGGGAGAATCTTATTTCTTCCTTCCATTTGTATGGACTTCATTAAACAGATGGTTAGACGTTGTTCTTTCTTCCATAAGGAGGTGACCAGTAATGTCTCCTTACACAACTTTAAAGCAACACGTGCTGCCTGTATACTGTCCCATAGAGCTTAAAGACTCCCTGGGCAGTTTACAATTTAATTACGGTGGCTGCACATTGCTCCCCCAGCAAGCCACTCAATTTACTGACTTTGGAAGTATGGAAGGCTGAATGAATCTCGAGCTGGCTACCTGGGACTGAACCCGGGTCATGAGCAGAGTTTTTGGCTGCAGTTTCACCACCATGCCACGAGGATCCTTGTTTAGAAACTATCTAGCCAGTCCTGCTGTGGAGTGTTACTCAAGGAGAAGAAATGAACAGGATTATGCTCTGTTTCTCTTGCAGTTGTTACCTGAACACATTTCTTCTCTAGCAAGTTCCACTGATTAATTCCAGTGAAATATTTTGGAATGTAGTGTTGCTGTTACATTTTTATAATCATTGCAGAAGAGCCTGCCATGTGTTTACCTTGAAAGCAGTAACCTTGTGCCCAGGCTCAGTTTTCAAAGAGGTAGGTCTGTTGGTCTGTTTCAGCAACTCTTTTACAGCAGTGAATAATGATTAGGCAGTATTGCTTCAAGAATGTGGTCTTTGCTTATAAAATGCTCTACAGAAGGGCAGCCATTTTTGATAGTTGCAAAAATTGAACAAACAAGTTATGGCACCATAAAGCTTAACAGATTTATTTCACGGTGAGTTTACAACCCGATTCCTTGGACACTTGGAGTACAGTAGTTAGGCCACAGGTTAATAATGTACACAGATGTCATCGTAGAACTGTAAGGCTGAGGTAAAATGTGAGAAACAAGGTGACAGTTCCATTGCTTTCAAAAGGACAGTGGAATTGTTAATCCTAGTACTGTAATATATTGATTACATAATAATGCTCCCACTCCTGCACCCACCCAGTAGCTTGCTTTTTACTCCCCTCTGAGTTTGGCATTCTCCTGTGGGAGGTGGAGGCCCCACAGATACTTCTGTCTTGGCTGGATGGCTCATTGTTTCCCTCCTGTCATGAGTTGGTGCTGCCTTGAAAACCTCAGAGATGGAGATCTGCTTCTTTCTTTCGCTTCTGGGCATTTTTTTTTTAGGAGAATTGCAGCCTTGATGCATTTTGCAAAAGAATAACACTTTAAGTATAGCAATGATGTTACCGACCTTGTTAACTATTATACATCCATTACTTTTCCTAGGTTGTTTTGAGATTGGGGGCATTAAGAATTGTTTGTTTTCAAGACTGATCATGCTAAAACCCTCAAACTGTTCATATTCTGTTAATTATTTTTCTTCTTTTTTAGGGCTTGTCCTTTATATGTTCTCAATCTCAGACGCAGGGTGCCTATTTGAACCAGTTGTTAGGGAATGTTATTAAGCAGTATTTTGGGCGCTTTCTTCCATCATCCTCTTCTCTTCGACCTGGGCAGCACCCTGTTTTGCTGGCTTTTGTAGGGCTTGTCCTTTATATGTTCTCAATCTCAGACGCAGGGTGCCTATTTGAACCAGTTGTTAGGGAATGTTATTAAGCAGTATTTTGGGCGCTTTCTTCCATCATCCTCTTCTCTTCGACCTGGGCAGCACCCTGTTTTGCTGGCCATGTGCAGTTCTACCACCATGCCAGGAGCCTTACATCTACGTAAGACCACAATGCAAGTCATAAGGTAATGTCCAGAAAAGGATTTTTTTTAAAAAAAAAGAGGAACACCCCTTTTTTTACACTGTATACCTTGGCTAGAAATGGTTCCCTTAAAATGCATTGTGTGGATTTAAAAACATTTGGGTGGACCCTAGACTAGGAATAGAGCAGACTGATTGCATCTGATAACTATACAAACTAGAGTGTAAGGCATACATAATTCATCTTAAAGAGTAAGATGCTACTAATCATCTTGGGGATCTTTTCTGATTTCTTCCAGTGAAAACTACCTGCAGTTCAAAGGTCATGCCCCTCCTTCTCGCCTGGCATCAACTTTGTCTTTCATTCTTGATGCATTGAGGAGGACCAAGGACATTGAAACGTGTGATGTTGAGGTGCTGCTCCCTTGTGTGTTGAAATGTCTTGTCATGGTTAATGAACCACAAGGTGAGCTTACAAAGTTTTACCTTGTGGAGCTTTTTATACATTGTGCTTTACACAACGTGAGGAGTTCATAACATACCTATGTGAAAGCATCTGAATATTTTTTTACCCTGACTGATTTATCATGAACAGCTGGTTATTGTTGTTAGTTCCCATCTAATATTTGGCCTTTTGTGATCTTTTAAATTTGATACAGGTATGTATTCAGTAGCTTGCTTAGAGGCCAAGAGAAAATGTGCAATTGAATAAAAAGTAGCTTTTTGGAACTGCTTCTCCTCAACTCTGATCAGTCTTAAAACAATGTTTATCTTATTTTTAAAATGTACATTTGTATTTCTAATTTAAAAAGATGGTGAATCTATAGGATATCAACATCTAGAGTTAGGAGACAGAGAAATCTAAAGGAAAAAAAGATAGTATTTTGACAGATTTCTTTTCAGAAAGAAAAATGTTAATTGTACACAGTTTCTGCCCCAGGTAGATTTGAAAGAATACTTTCAGACTTGGAAAGTCTGCTTGAGTGGTTCACTGGCTGTGAGATAGATTAAAGGTACTTGCTTGCTTGGCAGAATTTGTAAAATAATTGTGTCCAAGTCTTTCAAAAAAGACACTGAAGGCATCTATCTGATTGTGGTACAGAGGAGTGGTGGCCAGCTGGCAACCCAAAAGGACTATCAGCCTAGCCAAGAAGAATCTGCTCCCCTTCATAGGTAGGACATGTCTTGCCAGTAGATCAGGCCACCCTGAGTTAATGCAAGAAATTTTAGTTAAAAGAGCCCCTCTTCCATCTCACTGTTACGCTTTTGGCTGCACCAGTTTTCATTCAAAAAAAGAAAGGCTCTTGTCAGTGAGAGAATTCGCATTGATATCTAGGCAAAAAGGGGAACCCAGGAAGGCAGATGAGAAATAACAGCATGTTGATCTCTGTAGTTAGCCCTGGATTAGCTTGCTAGCTCTGTTCTGTGTGTTTTCTGAAAACAGAGCGATTCTTCTCTTTTTCTTAGATTGAAACTATTTACAAAACTTATCCCTTTCATGTTTTAAGTTGTTTCTTTAGTTTACAGTAAATGTTTGAGGAAGGGTTGTGTCAGTTGTGTTTGGTATCATTATTTTGAGCCTTCCTTGTGTTCCTGTTTGAGGAGGAATTTAAATCTAGTGAAATAAATTGATTTCATCATTGGTTTGTAGTTATTAAATTATTTTTATATGTAGTATTTATAATAGTAATACTTAGCATTCACATGATGCTTTAGAATTTTCAAGGCCCTACACGTGATCATCTCAGTGCTCAGGATTACTGGGTGGAATAGGGTTAAGATATAATAACTCATCTAGTAACTGTACGGTACCACTGGGATTTAAACTGGGCAATTGTGCTGTCATCTTCCTTTCTTCAATGTTAAAAATAACGTGAAGTGATTTAAATATTTAAAACAGTTTAAAACCACATATGTCTAATCTTAACATTCTTAACCTCAGTTTGAATTCACGGTGGGACGTGGTGGCGCTGCGGGTTAAACTGCAGAAGCCTCTGTGCTGCAAGGTCAGAAGAACAGCAGTTGCAAGATCGAATCCACGGGACGAAGTGAGCTCCTGTCGCTTGTCCCAGCTCCTGCCAACCTAGCAGTTAAAAAACATGTAAATGCAAGTAGATAAATAGGTACCACCTCGGTGGGAAGGTAATGGCATTCCGTGTCTAGCCGCACCGGCCACGTGACCACGGAAACTGTCTACGGATAAACGCTGGCTCTACGGCTTGGAGACGGGGATGAGCACCGCGCTTTAGAGTCAGACACGACTGGATTAAATGTCAAAGGGAACCTTTATGAATTCATACAAATTATTATATAATGTGGGATTCCATTGAACAAACAGTTAAGAAAATTAGCCATATGCATGTAAAATTGAGATTATGTTCAGCTGACTTCACTGCCAAATAACATCAGCATAGAATGGCAAGCGAAATGTACTGCCACCATTTATTCTGTTACTTCATAAGTAAACCTCGGAGAAGTTACTTTTTGGAGTACAGCTTCCAGAAGCCCTGACTAGCATAGCCAATGGATTGTTGGAACTATATTCCCAGAAAAGACTATACATACCTTCAAAAGACCCCAATACCTTCAACAGCCTTGGCACAGTTTTTTTGGCAACCTCCAAGCTCTGTTTATAAGGTATCTCTTTATAAGACTTCAGCAATTAAAAATAAAAGCCCCCCACCCACCCAACAAACATACACAGACCCCCAAGGGTTATTCTCCTTGTAGGTATTCAGAGGCTCCATGTGGTTTCTTTCTTGCAGTTAAAAAGCTGTCTACAGAGATCCTGCAGTGTGTGGTAGAAGGCTGCCAAGCAAGGTCAGGAGGGGAGCTTGCCACCCAGCTGACTTCTGTGTTTAGGTAAGTAGAACACTGGCCAGTTGGCACTGAAATGATTGCAAGCATTTGACAGAAAACAGGTTCTTTTGAGCAACTAATTATCCCTAACATAATTTGATGTTGATTGTTTATAGTACTTCCTTTCTTGGCAAAACAGTTGATCATGTGAATTGGCCAACAAGAAAGAAAAAAATGTTTAAAAGCAAGCGTGAAGATCATCCCCACCCCCACCCCTGTAGATTTTAAAAGCTCTTTTGCTGAAAATACATTGCAGCCATTAAAACAGAGAATTACTAGTAATCTTCTAGGTGTATTTGTAGGCAGAGTTGCATATGGCATTGTGAAATCATCACAAGCCTGTGTTTCTCTGACCCAGCTTCATTGTTGGCAAATACTGTTGGTCCTCTAAAGTTTTATTGTAATAAGTATTCAGGACTGTGACGAAGGGAAGCAGAAACCAAGTTCCAGCTTAGGTCTTAGTAACTTTGTTTTAGTGACCTTAGAGCAGAATCAGAGTGCATGTTCTGTTGTAAGCACATTGGGATCTATCAGACATCACACAAGAGGATTTCCACTTTTACAACAGAACCTGCGTTCTTCCTCTCTGCAAACACAGAAACCCTGCGCTCTGCCCAGATTGGCACCAGGAGTTTGATCAGTTGCCATCCCTCAGTACTTTATAGCATGGGAGGAAGACTCAGTTCCACCAACACCATCCATTCTGGTGGTGGGATAACACAACTTGATAACCTCGGGTAATGCTCCAACTTGATAAATTGGTTCTTGAAATAATAAACACCCACATTGCAGGGGCAATGGGGGGGATCATGAAGTCATCTCTCTTTATCCTTTCTTTCTGTCTCGGATTTGATCATGTGATATTGGCATTTGTGTACTCCCTGGATGTTCCCCCCCCCAAAAAAAAAGCATTTCCCCACATCTCTTTGGTAGAGTTTGTTTTTTGAGAACCAATTCCTGTTCCTTGCACTAAGTGCCCTTGTTTCTTCCTCCAGGCAGTTTATCCAAGATTACACTACTGTATATGATAATCAGGTTTACAACATCTTGGAAGCCGTGGCAGTCTTAGAGCAGTCTCTAGTTATCAGCCTGATTCCTGCTATGACAGAAGCCCTGAGGAATTCGGAGTACAAACAGGGTCTTGGCAGAAACACTGCACAAAGGTATGCTTGGAAATTACTGTAGCTTTTGCGTGAGGAATAGAAATTCACCCGGCTTTTTCACAAAAGGCATATTCAGATCTTCACAGCCATCTTTGGAGGCAGGGTTCATCTAACTGCTATATAGATTTTTTTTAATTATGAAGTATAACAGCATGTTTGTTTTCATGTTCTGCTACTTGGTGCTTATGTGCTTGTGTGTACACCTCCGCCGTTTTGGTATCTGGCTGTGGAGCTAGAGCTTTGGAGTTCATTTCCCCAGTGTGCCTTTTAGGAGAAGAGCCGGCCTGTGTGGCCTTAGGCAAGCTGCAAGTCCCAGGGCGCCCCCCCCCCAAGAGAAGGGAAAGATACCTCTGAGTATTATCGACCTGGAAAACCCCGAGGAAAAAAAACACTATATATAAGTCAGAATGAACTTGATAGCACATGATTATTTATACCAGGCTTGTCCAACCTGCGGCCCAAGGGCCGCATGCGGCCCAGGTCAGCTAGTAATGCAGCCCAATGCAATTTTTTTATTTTTAAAGAAATTCCAAAGTTTCAAGTTACACTGCCGGCGCTTGCGGCCGGAATGTGGCCAGGGCATGTCACAACAGTAGAGGGGGAGAGAGGGAAGGAAGGAAGGAGTGGGAGGGGAGGGGAGAGGGGGGCTGCGTGACTGCATTGCACCATCCCCGTCAATAGGTGGACCCCATAAAACCGCCGGAGTTGAAGCTGGCAGCCTCAGCTGTCTGAGGTCGCAGCTGTCGGTAAGTGCGCTTGGAGTGGGGCTGCGGAGGACAGCTAGGGCTGCCCCCCCCATGCGGCCCAAACCAAATGTATGTGCGGTGCAAACCAAATTTTCATCTTCTAATGTGGCCCAGGGAAGGTGAGAGGTTGGACACCCCTGATTTATACCAATAAGCTTCCATCAATGGTCTGATGGTTTCATATAAAACTTTGCTTCTTCGAAGATTCAAGAAATATATTTGCCTCAAACTAAGGATTTTTGGTACATATTTTTTTAAAAAAAGAAAAGAAAAGCACATTCTGGGAATGAAAAGAAAACCAAACCATATTGTTTCTGTAATACAATGACCCTCATCTGAAAATGGACATAGAAGGAGCTTTCCCAAAGAGTGGGAAACGGTTGTGAATACACTTGATATCTGAAAATGGACATAGGAGCTTCCCCAGAGTGGGAAACGGTTGTGAATACACTTGAGTGTCGCCTGGGTAACGGCGTCCAGGTTCCCCTTCATTTCCAGAAGCTTTGCACTTGGAATAGCACCAGACCCACCCACTTAATGGACGGCGACCCCTTGGACGATGGCTGAAGTGAAAGAAATATTTCTATACACATATCAAGCGCTGACCGCTTCTGGTGAAAAATAGTCTGCTTATCGTGACATTTTAATTGGTTTTTGATTTTCCCTATATTTCATGTGTGTCCATGATTCTGAATTGTGGAACACTTTGATACAAATAAAGATGATAATTGATACAAAGTCACCTCTCTGCACTGCTCACACGATTCTAACGTTTTGAATCTATTCTAATATTGTACCTATTTTCTTTAGACTATGGAAGTGGAAAGAAACTAATTTGGTCTTCGAAATTACCCTGTTTCCCCTAAAATAAGACCTAACCTGAAAATAAGCCCTAGCATGATTTTTCAGGATGCTCGTAATACAAGCCGTACCCCCAAAATAAGCCCCAGTTAAGTGAAACTCTGCCCTCCACCATTGTGCAACAACTAGAAGAAGATGACAGGACTGTATTTGAATAAATGTAGATTGTTGTACATGAAAAAAATTCCCTGAAAATAAACCCAAATGTGTCTTTGGAGCAAAAATTAATATAAGAACCTGTGTTATTTTGGGGGAAATACGGTAATCAAGTGTAGTGTTTTAGGAAAACTACATTTTCCTTTAGAGCTTGGACAATCCTCTAAGAAGTGACACTCAAAACACTCATTGCATGTTAAAGAGAGAGATTTCTGCAATGAAATAGCAGAAGTGCGAAATGCTTTGCATGGATTAATGGAAGAGCTGGTAATAACAGTAGTGAGTTTCATTTTCCTGATGCACATTTATATAAGTTTGTAATAGAAATTGGAAAAGGCAGCATGGTGTGGATAGAATGGGTTGAAATTCCTGTTTGGCCATGGCATCTCCATGGAGGAAGGTAGCAGTGGTAAACCACTCCTTGAACATCTCATATACTTCAAAGAACGTACTGTATTACAGTCACTATATTTTGGAAGGATAGCACACAACAATAAAGTAGTAGTTGTAGATTGGAATAGTCCTTGGTTTAAATTAAGCCTTCTTTAGAGCCACTGCTTCATGAACTAGATGAGACCAGATGAGTAATTTTCCTTCTGTGTTTTTAAATAAACAGTGCAGAGTGGGGGATGAGAAAAAAATTATGCCCAGGCTTGTTATCAATTTACTTTAAACAGCTTAAGAATGACATGACTGATTCTTAAGCTTCATGACACTGGTTTTAATTAAAGTGTTATATTCTTTTGTTTTATTCCTTCTTAACAGAGAGGCCTATAAAAGACTCTTATCTCAGCTCACAGAGGCTGGACAGACAGAGATACTGAAACTGGAAAATGAGACCCATTAGCAGCATGCTGATTGGTATTTGCAACACCATCATTTTATGGGATGTCGGCCCCTGGTGTAGAGTGCAGAATGCCTTGTCTACAGGTGAATAGCTTTTCCAGGGAGCTTCAAAACATGAACCTGCCCTGCATCCAGTTTGGAGTCATCATTTTAATACTGCAAGCAATATGGAAAAAGTTAAGCTGACCTTTCCTCTTTTAAATGACAGCTGCCAACTACTGAATCCTATAAGATGAAAATGCCCGTTATAGGAAACTCGGTTTCTAGCTGAAGAATGTTTTTTAAACATTTAACAAAAAATGTCAAAGGGGAAACAGCAAAGACAACCTCTCACTGTAAAGGTTTTGTTTTGTACCCTCCCTCTCCCCATGCTCTAACGAATCAATATCCTTTGGCTGTCAGACCTTTCATTCAGATATCCTGAGTGATAGTTTGCACATAAACACTTCCTATGAGCTGGGTGATGGCAAGGGGTTCAATCTAAGCAAGGCCGGGGTTAGGTCACTAATGCTTGAGCCTCCTTATGTTAACAGAAGAGCTTGTGTACGCATTGCACGGCATGGTGACAGCTGTCCTAGCTTTGTCCCTATATTAAAAATGTGTAGATGCGTGCTGCAGAATTGAACCTCTAACCTTCTCTCCGTTACCCTTGCATGGTTTTGCAGGTGGTGCAAAAACAAGCTTTGAGTCAGTTATAAGAACTCTAACCAAGGGCATTTATATGAATGTCACCTAGTCCTCTTTTTTTGGGTCCTTCCACCCCAGTCCAACTCTCTGTCATTGGTGTAAGAATCTTTGGCAAGTTCAGCCACATTCTAAAACATGAAGGAAATGCGTTACACAAATGTGTTTAAATTTCTTTTTACATCTCATATGATTATATGGTGTATATAGTAAATTGAATTTGTTAGATATTTGAGGACAGTGATGAAAGTTTATTCTTCTAGTTCTAAGGCCCGTCATAATTCTCCCCATAATTTATAAATTTATTTGGTGCATGGAATTTGCAGTTCCAGTAAATGATACAATCTTGGCAACTTTGTGAGTATTCATTTGAATTGCACCACCACATTGTACGGACTTAGTGGCAAAACCAGTGAAACAAACTTAAGTTTTTAGAATTAATAACGACTGTGCCCCCCCTTTTTTGCATTTATCAATTACTGCCATGGAAACTTCCCTATAATCTTGTTCAGAGCCTTTCTGTATTGTTACAGTATTCTTATGTAAAGGTAGCAGATTATCTCTTCCCTAAATCAACTATCATTACTTCAGATAATTCAGTAACTAAAAGCCTCTTTTAGGCTACTTAATAGTGTAGAGCATAGATGTTCTTTTCATTATGAAAGTGACTTATTGAACCCACATTGTAGCTTCTTGTAAGCTCCTACACCTGGGAGGAGTTTTATTCATCTCAAAAGGCCTCCATTTCTAAAAGGTTTTCTTAAAAAGCCTCTTCAAGTGAGATGCCTTCAAAATCTATGTCTTTACCATTCACAAGATAACAGAAACAGAAGTCTGTCTTTAGCATTAACTTCTTGAAAGTGAAGCCTTTGACTTTTAAGAGAATAGAAGCATATATTGTAGCAAATTGTTTAACTTATCTGGACATCTTTTATTTCAAGCATAATTAATACTCAGATTTTTTAAAAAGAAGTACCACCTGTTTCTGCACTAGTACTTTGTGAACAATTATCTTTTAAAATGTTTGTAGTTAAGCAATAAGTTCAAAAGTCTGTGAAGCAACCTTATGACATTGTTTCAGATAACCACTGGCAAATGACTATTTGTGGACACAGGCAACAAGTATGATTTGCAATATTACAAGGGAAGATTATAAAGATGTGATTTGGACAATTATCTGGACTTGTACATAGACGATCTAAATCACTGGTTCTTAACCTTGGGTTACTCAGGAGTTTTGGACTGCAACTCCCAGAAGCCTTCACCACCAGCTGTCCTGACTGGGGTTTCTGGGAGTTGAAGTTCAAAAGCATCCGAGTAACAAAGGTTAAGAACCACTGATCTAAATGATTATATTTCTCACATGGCAGATTATAGAATGTACTGTATTGATCCATGTTGCTCTACCCATTAAATGTTAAAAGTTGGGTTAGGCCACACCAGAAGTCTGAAATCCTTTATATATAGTACAGTGGGGTCTCGACTTATGAACTTAATCCGTATTGGAAGGCAGTTCTCAGGTCGAAAAGTTCTTAAGTCGAATCTGCATTTCCCATAGGAATGCATTGAAAACCATTTAATCCGTATCTGCTCTTTTCGTCCATAGAAACTAATGGGAAGCTGCTATTCCGCCTTCTGCCACTAGAGGGGGATATTTTTCTTTTTTTCTTTTAACCTAAGATGACTTAGCTTTAAAAAGGGGGGGGGAAGAGTTCGTAACTCGAATCTAAGTTCATAAGTCGAGTCCATATATTCCTATGAGAGCGGTTCGTAAGTCGAAACGTTCGTATGTCGAGCCGTTCGTAAGTCAAGACCCCACTGTAAAATCTTTTTGGTTTTACAGTTGTTGAATGCCTTCATAACATTCAGAGTCACGACCCTGGCCAAAGAACCTTCTTCCCAGTTGATTTATTTAGGGTTACAGAGATTCTTGAGATTTTGATTTGTAAATGCAAGTCTATTTACTGTATGGAGAAGGGGGTATTTGTATGTGAATACGAATGCCCCTGCACAGGTGGACATAACCGTCCACTGCTGTCGCTGGCTCAGTGATCCCTTTCAGTTGCTCCGGAGCTTGTAGTCGACTAGCCACTCCTGGCAGGAGGAGGAAAGGTGAGCCTCCCTGCCAGGCTGACGAGTGGCTAGTTGACCGTGAGCTCTGAGCAACTGGAATGAAGCGTGGAGCCAGAGGCAGCAGCAGATGGTCCGGTTCCAGGGGGGGCGGACTCTTGTTACGTCCACCTGTGCAAATAGCCCCATTGCTAGTATGAGGATCAGAAGATTCAATGGTTGATATCCCTACGTTATGGAGAACTAATCTTGGATCAGCAGCCCTCAGTTTTCTGACTTGGGTCCAGCTAAATCAAATGCCCTAATGCCAGGGTCCCCAACCCCCGGACCAGTACCAATCCATGGACTTGGAAGAATCGGGCCGCCAAGACACATTTTCGAGGGCTGAAGGAATGTGCACACACGCACACCTGCCTGCCCTCCCCGCCCACACAGATGCATGAACACACTCCACATGGATGGACGCCTGTTGCCACCCCCACACACACTGTCCTAGTGCATTCAGTTTGGCAGTCTGATTAGTGGACCTGAGTAGAAATTTACAAAATTTTGCAGTGGATGAAAGAAGACAGTAGATATTCTGTGTCCTGTGTGTTTATAATCATGGTATCTTGTAAGTGGCATGCCACTCAGAGTTTGAGCCTTTGACCAAAGTTTGAAGCCTTGTTCATGGGTCAGGCAAATAAGACACACGTTGTCTGATCCCTTTGTCCAGTCCATCAGTTGATCTTTTTCTAATGTGATGACCATACTTTCTCTACGGCACATGGGCTTTCTAAAGCTTGCAGAACCCCGGAGAGGGTTTGGGACTATATTATAGTTCACCCTCTTTTCCCATAAAGTACGTTTCTAACACTTGATATAAATCCCTATTTGAAATCTGTTTTGATCAATTGATTGGAAATTTATAAAACAACACACAGACCAGTATATTGTTTGAATCTGCATGATTCCTCTTTTAATGCTGGTCATACAACAGGGAATCCAGTCACCTCTTGCTCAAATGTAAAGCCATTATGTTGCCAATGGGCAGTCTTCATAGTGTAACTGCACACTAGAGACAGCCAGAGCAAAGGTGGAGTGCTATGGATGTAAGAGACTTTGCACGTGGCATTTTTTAACAGGATAGTGGTGACAGATCACATTTCTGCTGCAGAGTTTTGGGGATCATTTCTACGATTCAGTTCATATTTAGTTCCTTCTAAACCCCAGCATTCCTCATATTCTGTGCTCCTGTTATAGTGTCTGTATGCCTGCCAGGGCTTTTCTCCCTCTAGACCTTCTTAAATATGTCAAATTCAGAATCTGCTCACAGATTGAGAGATTCTGGTGAATGTTAAGCACGTCAGCACCTGAAAAGGAAATGTCCAGTATACAGTATTTCTCAACAAACATCAAAATGGTTGTTTGCAATACATTAAAAGATGAGGAGAAATGTGTGCAAATTTGTATTCTATACAAATTAATTCTATAATAAAATTATAATGCATATATATATATATGCGATTTGCTACCAGTTTTTCTTCCCGACAGACTGTGAATACTTTGTACCCATCTAAATGGAATCATTCGTAAAGAAAACAGATAAGATACAATGCACTCAGTTTCTTTATTTTGTTCAGAGTTTAACTAGATATTTGTCTATATTCAAAGTCTTAACTGTGATGGATCTGGAAATGACTTGGAAGCAAACTTGCACTCCAGCAGACACAGGCCTATCTGCCTGCTTTCCAACCTCACATTTGAGCAACAATATTTAAAGCAGCTTCTTGTGCTGAAACAGGTGCAAGATGTATTATGCTTCTTGGCACACTTCCATATAAAGGCTTTATGGGGCCTTTAGATTTGCTCATTTGGCACACCAAAATCCACTAGCCAGAATCAAGTCAATGTCCTGATTAACTACCTGCATACTAGACAAATGTAAGGAATTCATATAGGCTACAGAGTGCCCTTTTTCCAACTCTCACAGCCACATTTTTTCCAGGTTTTTAAAAAAGTGTTCTTCAACTGCATATCAGATTTTTGGCCATTTCCTTGTATTGACGACTGAATGCAAATACTTGGCTTTCCCAAAATCTCTGTTAGATTATTCTGATTCCTTTATGCACAGAATAGTGGGGATGCCCCTGTTTCCTTGTTGATATGGCATATGCCTAACTTTAAGAGCATTTCTTGGTAGGTTTGTTCCACCCCAGCATGGTCCATTTTTTAAGGTTATTGTTTTTTCCCCATGAAAACTACGGTGATCAGTCTTCTCCCACCCAGATCTACCCGACATAGCCAGCAGGGACGGCTGAGGGGTCTGACGCTGAGGGAGGCCCGGAAGGAAAAAACAAGAAACTGGGCCTTCTCAGCGGTGGCCCCTCGACTGTGGAACACCCTCCCTACCAAAATTTGGCTGGCACCCTCGCTGGGCATTTTCAAAAGCCAGTTGAAAACTTGGCTATTCAAGCAGGCCTTCCCTTCAGTCAATTAAGTGATTCTTATTTCTTATTTTTTCTTTTGATCTATGCCATCTTGGAACTGTTTATTTTAAATTGTTAAAATTGTAAACTTATGATTTATATTTTATATTGCTTTGTTTTTAGCTATGTAATAATTGTGTATATTTTAAATTGTTTTTATTGTATAT